AACATGTCTTAATGTGTGCATTCTTGAAAGAACACACCTATATGAGCCTGTTTGTGAAACATATCCGCAAGGAAGGTATTGAGATATGGTGGGATATTGTTGGAATATATGGGCTTAGCCCAATAGAAATTCCTAATAATAATTTCAAAGAAATCTCAAAAGCTCATTCATGTTTGCATATAGGGTACTGGAAGAACGTTTAGTCCCACCTTGCTAGTTGAAGTGGAGGTTGCCATGCTTAAATATGATATGTCTACTTATTAATTAGGATGCCAACTAAGAAAAAAGATGTGGCACTATATTTAAAGGAGATGAGAATGAGAATGGAGAGATGTGATAAGATGATATGTAGATAGAAGGCATGTGATTGGACAAGAAAATATGCTCTAGAAACTATCTACAAAAAATCATTAGAAACTATCTATTGAAAACATATGTTCTACCTACATAAAGATGATGTAGACAGAAGACATGTCATTGGACAGAAAATTATTCTCTAGAAACTCTCTATTGAAAATATAGTTTATATGTGTACAGTGTCTACATAAATAACTCTTTATTGAAAATATAGTTTATATGTTTATAGTGTCTACATAAATTAATACACATATAAAGTACAGGTAATTTTTAGTATTGAGACTGTCCAAAGTCTGCAGTAGTTTTTTTCCCGGGGAAAAAGAAGATAAAAGTTTATCTTTTCTACCTATTTGGTTTGAAGGTGAACAACTGATCATGACCAGATTGTTCCATAACGGAACTGTATATTCTACAAGTAATAAATGCCCCTGACAGCACAAGTATATATACACACCCAAGTAGGGCACATGCATGATGCATGCACTGGGATGGGGGTCTCGAATTTGCACCTTAGCAGTCAGCCCTATCAAATAAAAACCACCAGGACGGCGGCAGAGCACATTCCGAGCTAGCGCGTGTGCCGCGCGGCGAGTTCTTTATCAGATTGCGCTTCGTCGACTTGCCGGGCGATCAGCTGCTTCAGCTCTACTCCAGCTGTACTCGACGACTCGCCTTTTGGTGGAGTTCGTTCCCGTCCATCGATCTACCGCAGTTGCCGAACCTCCGCGCTTGCACTGCGTGCGCCACAAAGCGCGGAGGCATAGTAGTATGTTATTACACGCGCTCTTCGGGGCAACCGGCGGCCGGTTGCACCCATGCATTACCCTGTGGAACAAAGCGCGGTCGACACGTATATATGTCTGGATGCTAGAGCTAGAACGTGTCATCACACATGCACGTCATGTGTCTATGCAACCCGGCCGTACAGTAGTGTTTCTGTGTTTGGATCCATCCATAGAATTAATAGTAGGTTGCTAATAGCGCTTAACTCCTTTGGATCAAACATGTTCAGTTAATAGTCTACTAGCTAATTGTTAGAATATCCAACTATCAATTACTCCCTCCATATTAGGCCAGTCTTAGTGGAAGGTTTCACCACCCAGTTTTCAAGACGCGAAACATAACATGAAACGGATCTCTCTCTCGGTGCGTAGTTTCGTTGCACACAGTTTCATGGGTTATTTTAGACTTTTGTGGGTCCCACCGGTGTCTCTCTCTCTTTTCCCTCTCTCGCCGCCTGTGCGACGGTGGCCGGCACTGTAGTAGCGCGCATCGCAGTTGGGGAGGGGCGGAGCCGCTGCGCCCGTGCCGGCGGAGCTCACGCCGCGCGCCCGCTCGGGGGAGGCCGAGGACCGGGGGCAGCGCCGGCGCTCGCAACGGCCGGAGGAGATGGCTCCCGCAGCGGAGCAGCGCTCAAATCGCGCCAGCGGCCTCGCCCATGACAGAGAAGCGCCACGCCCGCCCGGCGGCACGCCCGGCAGCCTCGCCCACGACAGAGAGCCGCCACGCCACGCCCGTGAGCTCGCGCCAAGATCGGGAGAGGGCGGAGCTGCCCGCGCCGCGCCGGGAGGGGCCGAGGGACCGGGGGCAGCGCTGGAGATGGAGCAGGGGCAGCGCCAACGCTCGCAACGGCCGGAAGAGATGGCGCCCGCGACGGTGGATGAAACGACGGAACGCCCTCAGTGGGGGTTTCGTGCGGTTTCCAACGTTTTGGAAACTACGCTCACTCGATCCATCCCCGCGAAACGTTTCCCATCTCTCTCCTCGATAGATGCAAAAGCTTCAATTCTGCTGATGTGGCACCCTATTTAATGTGCATGAAACCCCTATAAAACCTACATTGAGACTGGCCTTACTAATTCAAGTTGTCTTGGACAGTGATACGGTCTCCAAAGCATAACTTTAACTTCTTATTTTTATAAAAATATTTATTGGAAAGTGATATATGTATATTTTTATAAAAGTGCTTTTCAAGAAAAATCTGTTCATATGGTTTTCATATTTTCAAACTCAACAACTTAAAAGTTATTCATGATTTATATTCCCAATGTTTGACCCAAGTCTTATCCAAAACGACTTGAATTACCAGTATGGAGGAAGTACCTCACTAGCTAGTTAATTGGGTCAAACCAGGTAGTAATTACATGCAGCTAATACTAGTTAGCTAACTATTATTATATAGCTATGATCTAGTATTAGCTAGCTAACTATTAGCAATAAATGGATCCAAAACAAGGTCGTCCTAGATAGTTCCATTGAAAACCCAAGGCATGCATATACCATCATGTGGCTGCCTGCCTGCATGTGGTCGATCAGATCAATCTATGTAAACTCGTGAATCTGGCTGCAATATATATATGAAATGAAACCACTGGAGCCGATCCGACAAACGCAGAATTTATCAGCGCGTGTGGCGCGAGCTGAATTTGATTAAACATCGATCGTGGGTCAGCTGCTTGAGCTGTTACATGCATCTTCCAAATTATACTAAGCAAATATATGAAATGAAACCCACTGGAGCCGATCCGACAACGCAGAATTTATCAGCGCGTGTGGCGCGCGCTGAATTTGATTAAACATCGATCGTGGGTCAGCTGCTTGAGCTGTTACATGCATCTTTCCAAATTATACTAAGCAACATGTGCTTATCCGTTGTGGGTCTGAGTAATAAACGTTAGTTGGTTTTAATTTTAACCTAGCAGCCTAGCATGCCTTCATTACAGTACAGAACTCAGCACCTCGATCGAAACATTCACATTCACATTCACTAGGAGCGGATTTCTTATATTATACGGAGTATAGTATATTATATATATATATATATATATATATATATATATATAATAACCAGCAAATTAACATTGCATGTGAACTGCTGCGCTGAATGCAACTTTCTGCAGGTGACGGATCGATCGATCTTTTGCTTCTTTTGCAGCTAGCTCTCGCCTGTGATCATAGTTTTTTCTCATCGAACTTGCTACATCTATAGGATCGCTTTTATTTGACAATCCTTTAGCAGCTAGCAGCTAATATAATGCCACACGCGCATACAAATTTACCCAACTAGCTGAATTAATATATAATAAATTAAAACCCATCTGTGTATATATCTGCTGCTTGCAGAATTTCCATCTCTCTGCTGTCCAAATTAAACAAAATCCTAGCTCGAATAATAATCCAAAGCCAATTAGACAAATTAATTAAGAGCACCGCCGCGCTCGGGGGGCCGGGACGTATGAGTGAGTTGGATCATTCTCATCAATCAACAGATAAACAAATGGAAGCTCGCGCAACTAGACATACTCTACACTACACCGCAGTCAGTCAGTCAGTCAGCTGCTTCCACTGTAGGTACGTGCGATTTCTTCCCAAGATGCGGTGCTATGCCATGCATTGCAATTCTTGTCGACCGCAACCGCAACGTGCACCGCCACAAAACGCGGCGGCCGGGCCGGGCCGGGCAGGGATGGACGACGAGCGAGAGCGACTTGTCGATCGATCTCTTCTCTGCTGCTGGGCCTCTATAAATTGCATTGCACTTGCAACCCCATTATCACATAACCCTGAGCTAGCACACCGTATTCACGGCCTAGCTAAGCGATCGATCAAGGGCGCAACTAGCTAGCTAGCGCAAAACAAACCAACGACACAGCCTGCACAGACAGACAGATAGATAGATAGATAGATCGAGAATTCGAGATCGATCGATGATGGCTGCTTGGAATAATAAGCATGCTGCCATAATCATCACCTTGCTCGCGTTCCTCGCACCCATGGCGTGCCATGGCGGCGGCCTCATCAATTTCACTATCCTCTGCTCGGGAGGGTGGGTTCGCCCAATAACAGTAGTCAGACTCCCGCCGTTAGTGACCATCACGATCGGCTGTCCTAATGGCTCCAGCGAGACCCCTATGCCTGCAAGTCCGAACGAGCCTGCTCCTCCCTCGGGAGCAGGGCTTTACTTGGACTACTACAACAGCAGCTACTCCAATTACGCGTGCCCTAACGCGGAGAGCATCGTCAGGGAGGTCGTGGAGAAGGCGATCGCGTACCAGGGCCGTGGCATCGGCGCCGGTCTCATTCGTCTCCACTTCCATGACTGCTTTGTTGAGGTACATTACAATTACAATTACATTCAATTCGTCGACTCCGTCGTACGTCCAGCGACGACGACGACGTGATTTTTATTTCATTCTCAATTCTCATCATCTTCGATCGATCAGGGATGCGATGGTTCCGTTCTCCTGAACACGACGGCATCAGGGAACAACGACACGGAGAGGGAAGGCGCGCCCAACAAGAACAGCCTGCGCGGGTTCGACGTCATCGACCAGGCCAAGGCCGCGCTGGAGAGCGCCTGCCCCAGCGCGGTCTCCTGCGCCGACATCCTCGCGTTCGCCGCGCGCGACGCCGCGCGCAACCTCAGCAGCGGCAAGATCAACTACACGATACCGGCCGGTCGCTGGGACGGGCGCGAGTCCTTCGCCAACCAGACCGGCACGCTGCCCGGGCCCTTCTCCAACCTCGACACTCTCGTGGCCAAATTCGCCGCCCAGAGGCTCAACCGGACCGACCTGGTCCTTCTCTCCGCCGCTCACTCCATCGGCCGCGCCCGCTGCATCTTCATCTCCAGCCGCCCGGGCATGAACCAGACCCTCGTGAAGGACCTCAACGGGGAGTGCCAGAGTAACCCCAGTGTGAACCAAGACTACAAGACCCCTGACGACCTGGACAGCCAGTACTACCAGAACGTGGTCGACAACGACGCGCTCTTCGACTCGGACGCTGCGCTTACCAACTCCACAGACACCAACGCACTGGTGGATACCTACAGGACTAACTTGATGAACAAGTGGGAGAAGGACTTTGGGGAAGCCATGGTGAAGATGGGCAAAATCAATACCAAGACCAAAGGCGACAAGGGCGTCGAGATAAGGAACCAATGCTGGACTTACAACGCGCCTCCCAACTACTGATCGATCGATCGATCAGCCGCTTTTGACTCTGCATCCATCTCGATCCATGGTTTTCGCATGCATATATATTACCATTAATTTCTCGTATACTGTGTAGTACTGCATCTGCGTGCGTGTATCCAATTTCATCACACTTCGCTCTATGGCAGGGCGCTTCGTTTATTGAATAATACGGTATATCCCACTGTGTTTCATTATTTGTCTTGAGTTGTTGACAAGGTAGTGTGTGCCCTTAGCTAGGCCGGTATATATTTCTCTGCGTTTCCTACACTCCAGCCTCCAGGTGCCTGACGACCCGCTCCCACGCCCGCAACACCCGCGCCCCGCTCCCAACCGCGCCCGCGCTACCCCCACCACCCCGTTCCCAAGCCTGCGCATGCCCGCACCCCACCGGAGACGAGGGCGACAGTGGCGGCGGCCTCCCTCTCCGGCCTCTCCCCTCTTTCCTCTCCAAGTCCGGCAGGCATAGAAGGGGTTCTGGGGAGGCGGGGCGGCCAGGCGGTGGGGATGGGGCGCGCAGCTTTGGGTCCTGTCGGCGGTGGAGGCGGTCGGGCCATGTCGGGGCAGGGGCTTCGTGGCCGTGGTCGCCAGAGTTGGAGAAGATAGCGGTGGCGAGACGGGGGAGGGGAAGAAGACGGCCACCGTAGGTGCGCTAGGGTCTCGTCGAAGCTCCACGGCCGCAGGCGCGGCCACGGAGCTCTAGCGAGACCCTATACCACACCGCGGGGTCGGGGCGGTGTGGGGGGGCAGCTGGCACGGACGCGAGGAGGAAGAAACCCCGTGGACGCAAGGAAGAAGAAGAATAGTGCGTGAGCTACCCAGCCGCTACCCAGCCACACAATGAAGATCCAACGACTGTGAATCGTCACCTGAAATGAGGAGAAAAATCAAGCGCATGAACGTTAGGAGATCCCATATTTCTTTCACCCTTGCCAAGTGGAGTAATTTCTACCGTACTCTAGAATTTTCTAAAATTTTAGTGGAAATGCCACAGTAGGGGATCGGAGGCCCCTGCAGTGCATTTTGTTACAGTAATAGAGAAATGAAGAGAAAAGGAGTTACAGAAAGGAACACAAAACCTGTATATATAGGTGGAATATAGGTGGAAAGTAGAAACTGCGGCATGCAACAGGCAGCCAAGGGGTGAGAGAAAAAGAGCACACGAGCTTAATCCAGCTTAACCATAAATAAACTGAAGATCTCAGGTTGACCCTGTGAAGCCGAAGGTTAATAACTTCTGGTCAATGTCGCTTCGTTGTTGTCTCCCAGCGGCAGCGCGAGAGCAAGATCTTAGGTCGCACGATTAGTTTCTTCGTTAGTCACAACATCGTGTGCTCCACCGCCCTAGCGGTGCCTTTTGTCCATGTCCAAGCCCATCACTTATGGCACCTCGCTGTGCTGTGATGTGATGACGGACGTGTAAGCTTTCTAAACTTTTTCTTAATGAAACACGTGCTAAGCGACTTGCTATATTTTTTTTGCTGACCAGTGGAGGCCTCCCTGGGTTAAAAAAATTTTGCTATTTTTTGGCCCGATTTCGTGAATTTTGGGAAATTGATTTGTAGGGGTGGCTCTATATCCAGCCGTCCCTAGAAATCATCAGCCGCCCTTAAAAAATCGATTTGTAGGGGCGGTTGGTCAGCCGCCCCTACAAATCAGCGATTTGTAGCCACCCCTTCGTAAGGGCGGCTGGCAAAACCGCCCCTACAAAAGGTTACGAGCCGCCCCTAAAAACGTTCATGTAGTAGTGTAGTGGACATAGAGGTGAAGTTCGTCTCTGGATGTTGGTCACACAACAAACAGGTCGGGTTACATGCAAGAGATTGTCTGTCGTCATGATCTTTGCTTTGTATTAGAAGCCTTGCGAAGAATTGGTGTTTTCCCTCGGCATGTGTCCTCCAAATGGACTTGGAGTTGAAAGGAGAGACAGATGCATTAAACCGCACTAAGTATGTCCATTTTACACTATAAGGTCCATCAACTATCCATTTCCAAAGAACGGTGTCCTCGCGATCGACCAATTGAACCAATTGGACAACACTTACATAAGGTCCTAAAGCTCAACAAATTCAACCATCTGTTGTACAGATTCCATCCTCCATAATCCTCTTGTCAATTCATTTGTAGCGAGTCATTTTTTACCTTTTGATTCTTTCTCCATGCAATCGGCAAACGTTGGGTGTGATTTCTTTGTTTCCAAATATGTCAAACCGTAATAGTGAAGGCTTCCATGAAGAAATGAAGTTGGAAGTCTGTTCGTGCCTTTGTCAGCATAGAGAAGAAGTGGTGTTCGTTACTGTTCTAAAACAAAGCGTCACAGATGAGTAGGGACAGTGATGCGTGTGATCTATGACAATATCAGGTTTCATCGTTAATAGTCAGTGCCCAAGGTCCATCACCAATGATCCATGATGAAACATAAAAATTCATCATAGTTATGCGCTCTTCTGTGACATGATTTTGCTTCGTCACTAAAATTTGTCATAGATGTTCACATTTCTACTAGTGGAAATTGAGATGCGAATTGACAAGGCTGACAAATCAGTCCTTGGAACAACTGCAGAGGTTGTCCTTACCAAAGAGTCTACAACAAAGGTTGGTGACGTACGACAGCACCTAGGAAGAAGTTGCTAAGAGTGTTGCAAGATTAAAAATCTCATTGAGGTCTGACCTTTTCATGTTCTATCTGCTCACTAGACTTTATTGCTCAAGTGAAAGTTTGAAACTCTATTTTTATCAACATAATTTTTAGGCGGCAAAATAAGACAACGAAAAGGAAAAGCTCAATGAGAGGATAGCGAAGCTTGCTGGCGGTGTTGTTGTCATCCAGGTATTGTGAAGTACACATAACAAAAATTTGAATTTTGTGTTATTTGTTCAGCATTCTTATCATTGATTCAATGTTCTAAACATGATGGATAACTGTTGACGATCGTTAACATCAATTATAAACCGTCAACATATCCTGCATATATACTTAATTCTATCACCAAACATAGGTCTAGGAGTTTAAACTAATAAATTCCAAGAGTTTTGGTGAATCTATGAATGCACGAGGGTTTATCCAGAAAACCATCAAGGAGGATCCAATCGTCATATTTAATCACGTTTATCCGCAACGAAGATAACTCCAGAAGACTCTAGAAGACACCAAAAGGCAAACCATTGCAGCAGGGCATGAGTGGCTGCCAGGTGGGGCCACCTATAGGCCGGCCGGCCTCCTGGTCCCACCTGTCATGCTCCGCTTCGATGTCGGTTCTTCCACCGCCTTTGAGAGTCCATCTCCGCCGTTGCTCAACATCGATTCAAATAGAGGGACGAGATGGAACCATGCCATGCATTTATGGGCTCAATTCAGAATTTGGCCCATAATGGCCCATGTGCATTTTAATAAGATATGATGTAAAGTTTAGTACCACATCGGCTACTAAGAGGGGGAGGGTGCCAGGCGCTCCTCATATATAGCAGCCCCTACCCTCCTCCCTGGAGCCATCCTTGAAACTCTAATTCATATCATTAGGATCAGAGTCAGCAATCAAGAGAAGATTAGTCCTCCATAGGATCTAGTCTTATAAATAATAGTGAGATAGAGAGTAAGGGAAGAGTTTAGAAGAGGTGATAGCCTGTCGGTGCTCTCTATACGGATTGTACCTTGATAGATCTAAGTTCTACTCGAGCTTGCTTCTGAGATGTCTCTGACAATCAACTTCTAATTCAAGTAAGCATCTTGTTTATATTGTTCATCAGGATTGCGACTCTTTTGAGTGCTTTATTCTCTTCCTAGGGGAGTAAAGTATTAATCGTAAGTGTAAGCGTGGTGCTTAGACTTAGGTTAATCGTGGATGCACCCTACATTTTGGATCGGTGGTAGCTCGCGAGGGTGACTCTTATAGCCTCGTTGAATCCTCTGTAGTCCACCTCCCGTTTGTAGGCCAAGTAGGACCCGGTTATGAAGAAAAGCATCCTCTGCTGGTGTTTTTCTCTTAGTAATGTCCCTAGTTGAACAGTAGAAGACATAGCTTACCAAAATCAGAACTAGAGAACCTTAGTTATCCTCTCTATGCTCCTATTTATCCTAACCTTGTTGCTATCCTTAGTTAAGTTAGACCGTAGTTAGTCTCACATGTTTTCCTATGGATACGATATTTGGAATACTTCCGGATGAAAGTTACAGCGATATCCGTGCGCTTACGGATTTATCTGTGTGCGTTAATAAATATCAACAAGCCTTCTGACGCCGTTGTCGAGGAAACGGTTGCTGAGTTAATCCAAACCTAGTTTAACCTTGTATCTTTATTCTTTTAATCTTTTATTCTTTTCTTTTACTATGGATCTAGAATCCACACCTATATCAATATGCTAAACCTACGAGCGCACGCCTAGAGCCACCAAAATCTTCAGAGCCTATCGTAACACCTGGCTATGAGCTGTGCCCGTGTTTTATAAAATTAATTCAGAAACAATCCTTCTCGGAAGAAGGCAGTGAAAACCCATACATACACTACTGGGGAGTTTGAGCAGACACTGCATGCTTGCATATCGCTGGCATGTCGAAAAAAACCTTAAGATGGAAGTTATTTTCGTTTTCTTTGATGGGAAGAGCTAACATTAGTACAGTCGAACCGTAGGAAGTACGCAAGGAGATTGAGAAATGTTATGCTTTAAATTTTGTTTACGTTTCTTTTCCATCTCTAAAGTGGTTAGCCTTCGGAAAGAGGTTCTAAATTTTAGACAAGTTGAAGAAGAATCTCTTGGCACACATGGGAACTAAGGCTGGACGAAAAACTCGAAGCTCGTAAGCTCGCTCGGCTCGTGGCTGGCTCGACTCAGCTCGGCTCGGCTTGTTATGATAACGAGCCGAGCCGAGCCAAGATTTTAGCTTGTTAGCTATAACGAGCCAACTCGAGCCAGCTCGCGAGCCGCTCGCGAGCTAAACGAGCCAAGCTTTCAGGAAAAAAAGTATCAAAACTTATATTAGTTTTTATATTAGTTCATGTCTT